CAGAAGAGGAGACACGCAGAAAGGACCACAGGTCGGATACAAACCTGGGCCAACTGCAGCAAAGACTCGGTCAGGTCGCCCGCTCCACCCACTGAGCTAATCCGGCGCCCATTAATCTTTTAAGTTAAGCCCGAAGAAGTAGTGAAAAAAGCAAAAACTGTTCGATGTTCTGCTGCTTCAATAGAGAAGAATTGCGGCATATTAGTCAAAAGTAAAACAGTAAAAAAGTAAAAAGTAAAAAGTTTTGTTTGGGTTTTCTCAGATAGAATCAAGATCTTTTAAGATGTCACTTTTGGCTCGGGTGGAAAGCGTAATTAGCATTTGTGTTCATTAAAAATATTATGACAAAAAAACAACTGGAAAATAAATTAAAATGAATGTGACTATTGTTAGTTTTTTTGCTTTTTTCTTTTTTTTTGTCTCATTTAAAACAGTTAGTTCAATGCATGTGAGCCAGTGTGTTGGCAACTAACTAAGAAACCCTGACAAAATCAGTGATAGAAATAACCAGTCGACCATTACACATGTAACTTACATTATATAAAACAGGACTTTATGAAAAGAAAGAAGATGTTATTGTGAAAGAAAGCAGAATGAATAATACATTAATTAATAATGAGAGAGTTTAATGCATTGAAAATTTAATTTAAATGTAATTATTTACCCAATTTTGTTATTTTCTTTCTTTCTTTCTTTCTTCTCTTTCTTCTTTCTTTCTTTCTTTCTTTCTTTCAGATTTCAGAGCACAAGCACAGACTGTAAAATCACCAATGATCGATATTTAAATAGATCCAGATTGTGACTTCATCCAAAGGTCACAGAAAACACATTACAACAGACACACACTTTCAAACAGACAGAACACAGCACGATCATCTTACATTTTCCCCATCGCATTATGGAGCCAGTTTCAGACACTTGTTTAGTCTGAGCAACGCTTCCAGCACCTTGGTTGTTGTGTGTGTTTGTTGGTGTGTGTGTGTGTGGTGTGTGTGTGTGTGTGTGTGTGTTGTGTGGGCATATACATGTGGGATGCATGCTTGTATGCAGACAGGATGTGTGTCTTCTCTCTCTCTCTCTGTCTGCTCTGTCTGACATGCCCGTCCTGCTTCTGTGGGACTCTTGGAAGCTTGCGTAGAGGAGCTCCAACACAGTACACATGTTAATTATTACATCTATTACACCAACATGTGATTGATTATATATATATACACAGAGCAGCCATTTATTTGATATTGTACAAAATGTATAGTAAAACATTTTAAAAAGTTTGATTTGAAGCTTGAATCTCAAACAGTCGAAGTGAAAAGACTTTTCTGGAAGCTGCTCGAAGAAATCTGACTTCATGCTGCGTAATAAGCACGAGCACTTTATAGTATAATGCTTGCCGAGATGAAACTTGAAGGGACTCCTTTACTTGATTGATGTGTGAGCATGAATTGAATAAGCAATCTGCCGTTTTAAAATATTGAATGACTCTGGAAATTCAGTTAAGAGTTTCACTGCGGGCCAAATCTATTTGTGTGGTTGCCAGTTTGAGCCTGTTGGAGCTGATGAGATGTTGGTTGATTAAAATTGCGAAGAACCATTGGAGAAAGCTGTAGAGTATCAGAACGTTGCAGTCTCAGTGTGTTGTGTGTGTGTGTGTGTACATACCTGCAGGGTGTGTTTAATTCAGCACTAAGTGATGATACTGAAAGCGTCTAGGCGTCTCCAGTTTATCTCTCGAGCAGGCTGCTGATTATATATTTTACTTAATGACAACAAAATCCCACGAAAAGACCAAAAACAAGGAATTTCGTCTTACTCCTGTCTGTGGCTCTCAGCTCGAGCACATTCTTCCAACTGAACTTACAAAGGTTCAGTCGTTCCTAAAACAGCTGACTCATTGTGGTTTTTATCAAACTAACAGGATGAATGTGCATTTGTGGGGATTATTTTCAGTGGTGGATTAATCCACATTTGGAGTTCAACTCCGACCTGTGGCCCTTTGCTGCGTGTCAATATGAGTTATATTTACACAATATACAGTTTTTGTATTGCTTTAGTGAGTATTTCTGGCAGCAGGACAGTGAATGTGAGATTGAGTCTAAATAAACTGAAGTGTGTCTTTACGGTAACGAAGGAACAATGTGACTCAAAGGAAGAAGACAGACACTTTACACCCAATGGCAAAAAAGGCAGCGCACACACAAAATCGTGAAACTGTTTTATGATTTACTTATTTTTAGTCGTTATGCAAACATAGGAAGTGAATTAACACGTGACCTTTTTAAACCAACCACGTGCCAACTCCTGAATATGAAACACATGACTACCATTATCCTCTAAGCTCTAAAGGCCCGAAACATGAATGTGTTTATCTGAAATGGCCAAAATAAATTGGTAAAATTGAGATTAACTCAACTTTAGTCCTGGAAATCTGTGTGTGTGTGTGTGTGTGTGTGTGCTACCTTTTGTTTTTGGGTGTTTACACTGCGTTCAACACATGAACTTAAGATCTAACTGAAACACACACATTCACAGTTAGTTGGGTGTGCACGTGAGATTTGTTGACAAGAAGAATAATATAAAATATCACCACCAGACTAAAACCCTGCTTTAATGGCAGCAGCCTTCAGTTTCCAGGTCCAGCTGACCAGCAGACGTCCGAGGTGACCCGCTGTATAGTCTACTGGAGCCTCTGTGTATTATTGTAGGTGTGTGAGAGCGTTTGTGGGCGTATCACTGGAACAAATATGAAGTTGCTGAGGTAGGTTGTACTCTGCGTGTCTCTGCAGCTCTCCTCTCAGTTTTCCAAGTTTCTCTGTCAGTCGTTTTTCTTATTTTGTGTGTGTGTGGATTCGCTCCGACTGCCGCCTCGGAATCATTCCTTAATGTGAGCTGACTGCAGGAGCCCAGAGTTTGGCCTCAGGGCTTCTTCCACCCTCTGACACGGCTGGAAGACTTAGAAGTTTGCTCTCAGAAAAAAAGTTAGATTTCCCTTTTCTCTGCTTCATTAGGAGCGATAGCCACAGCGGTAGCAGCGGTTTTTAACATGGAGCTGAGGAAGAGCGTAATCCCTGCAGCGTGCTGACTCAGGCTGCACAATATTGATAGACTCAAATAAAGACTGGCTTACAGAACTCAGGAAGGATATCAGTGCACTTCAGGCACAGAAGACTTCAAAAAGGAGCCTGAACACATGATTTAATTATGTGAGTGTATTAATAAAGTGCAAATAACTGAACACAGAGACTCGCCGTCCTTCTTCGTAAGGCGTAGCACTGATGAAGATGTTTGCAGGTGATATAAGAGCATCCTGGGCTCAATCTGCATTAAACCAACTGGCAGTTAGTCCTGAAATCAATCAGCAGTTTATCAGCCTCTTAAGTCTCCATGTTGTTAAAGAGAGGCAGGTTAAAATGTTTTATTTATTTAGGAAAGAGATCACTGTAGTAGTCTTCAACCTGCATTAGTACAGTTAGTACAGTTGGAGCCAAATATTCTCTCTTCTGGTCTTTAGTTGTTTCACTTTCTTCATCAGTCGGTCTCTAAAGAAGCAGCTCATAAAACCAAAACAATGAGCTGAAAGACGCTCAAATGCTCCCAAAAACAGAGTTGGTGATAATTATCTGTGGGTTTGTTGCTGCAAGACAAGACACAGTAAACCGATCCATTGTTAAAGGGGAACTCTTATGTTTTCCCTTATTTTCTATCATATATATAATGTTACATGTCAGAAGGAAGGAAGTTTTAAATATAAACATGTAAAAGTAATCAAAAGTTCCAGACTGTTTTGAATGCAACATTTCCAACAGTCACTACTTTTGTTAATACTTTCTAACTATTTCCTAGTTTTCGCTCCGATGTTCCACACTTTTATCAGCTGAGGGTGACTTACACAGTTTGCTCTACATGTTGCTAAAGTGGCTAACTGCTAACGGACTGAGAGCTCGGGGCAGAGTTCAAAGCTCCTTTAGAGAAAACGAACATATTCTTTACTCAGGTAGAAGTACCGTGTGGGATAAATACATTTCTAAAAATAATAATAAATAAATTCAGCTTCCTCTGAATCGTCTGCTCATCCTTTCACGGGGCATCGACAGAGTTCACCGCCACTGCGCTCTCTCGGTGCCCTCACCTGTTGTTCTCCCTCCAGGTCGCCCCCCCCCGGTGTGAACCATGGCCCCCAAACTGAGCGTGCTGCTGCTGCTACTGGCCGTTGCCACGGTAACGGTCCTGGCCCAGAGGCGGCGCCCCACCTCTACGGCCACCGATGAGTGGAACTACAGGGATGGCTGTGAGCACCCAGATTACTCTTTGTTTACTCTGGGTCAAAGGTCAAGTTCATGATGATGATGGAGGTGAAAGGTCACACTGCGACCTCGCCGCTCAGAGCGAGAAACCTGTGTGAACTCCACCTTTTTTTTATCTGAATCTTTTCGGCTCTGTGCTGTTCAGACCTCCAACCTACAGCGAGATTCCACAGTCGGCTAACCCTTCCCTCTGCTCCCAGTGTCTGCGTCGGGTTACACTCATCCTGTACTGGGTGAAACTGGGAAATACAACAAAACATTATGTATTTATGTAATTCAAGTATTTACACATGATGACGCCATTCTCATATGTGGAAGACGGGGCTGCACTAACCCCCTAAAATATGATTAGTTCATAAAAATGTTTAAACTTTTAATGACTTTTCCTTTTTTACTGGGATTTACACGTGTTCACTGGTATTTATTATTATTATTAGTTTTATCATTTTATCTGCAAAAAAGTTATAAACTTTGTGTAAAATATTGTTGATAATTAAATAGACCCCCACTAGCTTCAAGGGGGGTTTACGAGGCCGTCTTGATTTTAAGGCGTGCACGAAAACTTTAAATATACCCAGTAGGCCGATGTCTCAGTGTTTGGTTCACACTAACTAAATGAAGTATTGTAAATTGTCTAATAAAACAACAAGAAAGACTATTAAGCATTAAAAAATTAAGAATTACAGAATTATATATTTTTTTAAGGAATAATCTGCTCATAATTCTTCTAAATCACTTCACTGGGTCTTCCTCTCATAACGTTAATGTACATAAACAGCTAAGCTAACTTTAACCATGTTAATGTTCACAAAGCTGCACTGTAAAGAAAGTTTTTAATATTTAAATGTTTTTTCACGACAGCGTGTAACTCCTCATAAAACCACAAACTGTTTAAATATTTTATTATTTATGTGCTGTTTAAACAAACGAGATCGGCCTACATCCTGTTGATTAAGGAGCTTTAAAGTTGGTAGGCTGTATAACTGAGCCAGGCTAACAGTTCCTACCTACATCCAGTGTTTATGCTAAGCTATGCTAATCACCTCCTGACTTTAGCTACCTGATTAGAGTTCTGAGCTAACTCTTGGTAAAAGAGTAAAATAGTGTATTTCCCAAAGTTTAAATTATTCTATAATTGAATAATTTTGATAATATAATTTAATGTGTTTAGATTAATTAACTTTTACGTCACCAGATCAATAAAACCTTAATATCCTGTATAAACGTGGATCTTTACACATTTATTTCCTGTGCATTACAGCTGAGAGGGTGAACATGCGCGGCGTCGCCAACCTCACTCAGATTCTGGACAACTGGAGGTTCGACATCCTGACCCAGATGAAAGGACTCCTGCAAAACGACCACCAGTCTCTCCTGCCCGACTACGCCAGGTACAGGGGGCAACACAGCGGCAACACAGGGGGCAACACAGGGGCAACACAGGGGGCAACACAGCAGCAACTGAGGGGCAACACAGGGGGCAACACAGGGGCAACACAGGGGCAACACAGGGAGCAACACAGTGGCAACTGAGGGGCAACACAGTGGCAACTGAGGGGGCAACAGAGGGGCAACACAGGGGCAACAGAGAGGCAACAAAGGGGGCAACACAGCGGCAACTGAGGGGCAACATAGGGGGCAACACAGCGGCAACTGAGGGGGCAACACAGAGGCAACAGAGGGGCAGCTGAGGGGGTAACTGAGGGACAACACAGGGGCAACACAGGGGCAGCTGAGGGGGTAACTGTGGGGCAACACAGGGGGCAACACAGGGAGTCTGAGTTTTCTGTTTTTTGTTTTAAAAAAAACCCAGAAAATAAAAATAAAACCTGTTTTCTCTATAGTAACTCCAACTGTAAAATTCTGCTTTTTTAAATATTATAATGTATATATTGATATCAGATATAACAGCACAACAGTCACAGTTTAATATTATATTATATGTATATATATATAATATGAAACATATATATCTGGAATATATATACCATATTTTTTCAACTGTGGTAGACATTTTACTTTGTTAGGAACTTTTACTTTTTAAGAAAACCAAGCCTTCCCCTACACAAAAAAAACCGCAAATATAAGTAAAGTTTTTTCATCAAAAATCCTGCAAATTTACCGCCTGGCTTGATTCATAAACATAGAAATAATAGGCCCCCTGAATGACTGTAATGGACAACAAAATTAAAAGTTTAAATTTAATAATAAGTATTTTGTGCACTTTATTGAGCTGAATTTAAGAACTTACCTTTAATCTAAGATTAATTAATCAGGCAATCTTACAATAACACAAATTTCTTCAAACAGGCAGAATAAAAATAAAGGTGACTTGTCTGTAAATGAAGAACGCAGAAACCATTCTTATTATTACAATGTTTTATTAAAAGCGAATGAAAAACTAAACAGCTGCCTAATTTCCCACACTGGCATTAAATTCATCCCTGTAAGTAGAAGACTTAAAACATTTGTTGAAGCCAGAAAATAAAAGAACAGAAAAAGGAATGCAAGAAAATGGAAAGTTTAAGCAGAGAGCCAAATTAAATGATGGAGAGAATCCCCAGAAACCTAGCTCCCAGCCCTGGACGGATAAATGACCGTCTCGCCGCTCCTGAAACTGCGGCAGGAAGCAGCAGACTTCTTGTGGAAAACTCGAGCCTGTTTCTTTCACGACGCAGAAAGGCATGTTGCTATTTTCACTCCCCTTAATTGGGCAGTTTGAGCCTGCCAGTTTGTTACGACGGCGTCGCGCACAGAGTGTCCCCCGACAGACTTTATTTTCCAGCCTGAAGGATAAACGCAGATTCATGGTGGGTAGCCCTCCAACCAACCGAGACCTGTTTTATTTCACTCCCATGTGGAATATTCTGGCTTGTTGGACAAGTGTGTGTTGTCAAAACTAAACGCCAGGCAGTAAACCTCCCCAAAATTCTGCTTTACAGCCGTCGTTCTTATTCGCACAGTTGTGACATTTAAAGCCTTTGAAAAACTATCTGAGTTTTAATGTGGTTTGAATTCCCTCGTGTGATCCACCGAAAAAAAAAATAAAGGAGAGAAAGTTCAGATGGACGTTTCCATCTGAGCTGGATGAACCTCACTCGCAATAAAGATGAATAAATTAAAAACCAAAGCCTGACTCAAATGAGAAGGAAAACTGGAAGCTTAACGATACCATTTCTGCATAATTTTTAAACTTTTTATCTCATAATTAGGCCTTTTTATCTAAAATAATATTTCTTTATTAATATAATTTTTTTACCTTTACTGAGCAGTAATGTGTTTCTTATTACGATGTATTGCCAGGAAACAAACCTTTAAACGCCTTTTAGGGTGCAGGGACTAACCTTGACGTTACTTTTGAAAACACTAACCAGCTAATCTTTTATGAGGAACACGTTTAACTGCTTCTTTTTCTGTATGGTTGGATTAAGCTACAGTGTCTTTTATTTGTGTTGGATAACAACAGATTGGGGTGGTTTTCAAGTTAGCAGGAAACCAGGGATGAGCAGTAGGGAGATTTAGCTTTAGCTAAAGCTAGCTGTGGGCTCAGGAGGTAGCTTTTAAGTCATTGGTTGGGTTTTTAGCTGTAAGATTTTCAAACCCTTGTTACAGGGGGGGGGTGTTTCTGTGGTATGCCTGAATAGTATTTTCTTTGACAATAATATATTTACATTTGGTAAAACAATGTCAGAAAGTCAGATTCCTGATCTTTAATTATTTTGTCAGCTTTCAAAATTAATCGTCAACGTTATTATGATAATAATTGATTTCAGCTTCTCCAATGTGAATATTTTCTTGTTTCTTTAATCCTCTATGACGGTAAACTGAACATCTTTTACATTAGATATTTAAGGACGTCACCTACTCAACATTTTTCACAATTTTCTGACATTTTAAAACAACTAACTGATGAATTGAGAAAATGATGGACAGATGAATCAGTAATGAAAATAATAAACCAGATGAACTCTTTGTGCTCCCATTCAGGATCCAGCCGCTGTCTGAGGCTTTAGACGACCTCTACAAGGAGTTCAACGCCCTCAAGGCTCACCTGGGCGACCTGACCGAGAAGTTCGCCGCCATAGAAACCTTCATCGACGAGGTCAAGGCCGGCCAAGCCAACGCCGGCCCAGCCACGGCTCCGGCTGCGGCTCCGGCCTCCGTCCCCAGACAGACCGGGAGGAGGGTGATGAGGAAGAAGGCCAGCACTTCCTCCTAACCAGCCAATGTTGTGCTTCTTCTGTTCTGATGTTTGCTTCTTATCTGACAGTGCTGGCACTCCTTTAATGTCCTTATTATCATCTTATATACTCTCAATTAAAGAATTTAAAGATACAACACAGTATAAGATTAAACATATAATCTTCTCCTGCCTTCCCTGTGTCTCTATACTGTCTTGTCAATAAAGCAAAGTCTGAAATCACTCACTTCAATTAACTCCCATAAAACAGACACTGAACAGTGGTTGAGCGTCTATTTAATGGGCTGCATTACATTGTGGGATTGTTAGCAGAAAGTAGTCCACATTATGGACACTTATATGCAAAAATACGGTACTATCCAAGGAAGATTACAGATAAAAGAAGACAGACTGCATGTTTGATAGATTCTTTTTTATAATATATAATACGATGATACAGATCTGGATACAAATCCATAAACTTGTATTGAATCTTTCTGTATACAGGTCCTTTTTGTCTAGTGTATGTTTTTGGCTCCATTGTAGATTTATTTAGGGTCTATATAGTCCATGGATTCCATACTGAGTGATTTTGGACACAGCAAACATCTTATCCCGCCAAAACCCGTCAAACATTTTCAGGGTTTTGACAGATTTTCTCCTGTTTGTTCTGAATGCTCTTTGGACAAACGTGCTTGTGGGTTTGGGTTTACTGCTGCATTATATGAGCTCCAAATAAACTCACTTATTGCATTCATATTCATTATTTCAGTTATTGTTTCATTCATTTGATCTGAACAAAGCTGATTGGCCTCCTAGTTTAACTACAAAAAGTGACTCCACGTAGGAAGGAGGTTTGAGAAGGGTGAACACAGGGCGTCCCTGTTGGAGAACAGGGTTTGAATCCCCTGTGGAAATAAAAGTTAATGCTGGATTTAATTTTTAGACTTCTGTGATCTTAAACCCTGTGTGTGTCATTTCTTTTTTTAAATGTAAAACTTCCACCGCAAATTATCAACCATGTTTCACCAAACACAGATTTCAGGTCCAATATTTTTATTCAAACAATATCAAACAAAAAACTATTTTTTAATCAAACAAACAGAAAACAGAAAGCATTTTAAAGCCTGTTTTAAAATAAAAACTTTTTGTTTTAATTTAAAAACAGAAAATAAAAAAATAAACGACCCATTATCCGTTTTAAAAAAAAATAAAAAACAAAATAAGAAAACAACCTGTTTTCCATTTTTTGTTTTGAAAACCGTAATAAAAAAAAGACCCTTTTCAGTTGTTTTGGTTTTCTGTTTCTGTTCCCCTATTTATGAATAGCAGTCGGGAATCAACTTTACTTTAACTAAACACTGACCAGAGAGCAGGGTGTTGGGATTTATGGGACGAATGTGTCATCAATTGGGAAAATATATAATCTGAATACATTTTTGTGACCTCTAAATAATTGACCAAAGGTTAGCAATCCTTGTCATTTAGACAATTTCTTTATACACGCCCAGATGTTGTGTTAGTGTGGTGATAAAGTGTAGTTGTTAGTGTCTATTGAAGATCTTAAAGCTGTTTCAGGGGCTTTAATATCTAATAAAAAAAACAAGAAAACTGAGATTTGTTGATATTGTGCCCTAAAAATAGTTCAATCTAAAGATCTGTGGGCATGAAATATAATCTGTCAGAGGCTTGGATTTAGAAAGACCAAACCAAACCAAACTCCACAGTATCTGGGTCTCTGAGCCGTGACCCAATTTGTATTACATCAGAGCCACTGAGAGAAATATCAGTAATCCCATATACTGTAGCATACTGTGTGTAATCTGTCGCTGCTCCCAATTCTGACTCACCGCGGGAGGCGACGTGATCGAGGCAGCAGACGAGGTGAAACTGGGTTGAAAGACACACGAGGTGAAGAAAAAGTGGCGGATGTGAGATTAAAATGGACTCAGATTAACATTTGTTTAACCAGCAGCAGGATGAGTTGGAGGCAGAAAACTATAATCACCTTAAAGTTACAGAGCAGCATCCCATTAGAGTGTGTGTCCGTCTGATGAACTCCGGAGGGAAATATCAGCTTCAGCTGCTAAATGAGTCTCAGACTAGTAAAATACCTGGTGTTTTATCCCACGGTCTGGGTGAATCCTCAATTCTGATTGGCTTCTGGGTGTCCATTAATTTCCTGATGTAGGACAAAATCTTGATATTGATTTGGGGACTGATAGCTGTTGTTAAACATACTGTCAGATTATATTTACTGTTTGTTGGCCGTACACAGCCTTATTGACTCTTACTAGCATAACGTTAGCTCTCTGTCTCGTAGTACCACGTCTCTTAGATATTTGAAGATGAACAGTGTCACTTTTATAGAATTGGCTTATTTTAATTTAGAAGAGGAAATAAATGTCTACATTAAACAAATGGTATGAACTGTATCAGACTGTGTCGTATCGAATTGTTCCTTATTCAAATGAAATCGACCCTGAGTCGTATTGTAACTGATGTATCCGGATACGTATGCACGCCACTCAAACACTGCAGTAATCAGATTTTATCAGATGACTTCAAACTAAAATGAGTTTATTTAATAATGAGAATAACTGTTGTGATGTTTGTGTAACCTTGAACTCCTGATCGACTCAGTCCACTGACGGACTGACTGTACAGTGAATCCCCTGATGAATACAACATGAAGGCAGGTGGTGGAAAGAAAGCCAGAAGTCACTTTCATGCCATAATTCATCGTCACACAGTGTTATTGGTTCGCCTCACTTGACCAGTTCATGAGTGGATTCACCGGCTGCAGCTCCTCCAACTGTCCTCCTCACATCTCTGTGTCAAAGGGGCACTCGGATCAATAACACATTTCATGCCTCCTGGTGTCAGCGACACGCTGCACTGTTGACGATGTGACTGAAGAAGAACCACTCGGCTTTTTGAAACTTTCATGTTTGGTATCTTTGATCATCAGAAAATCTCTCCGCGGAGAGATAAAAGATCATTTGATGAATCTGATCAAAACTCATTTTCTTCTTGTTTTCATCTCACACAGACCATGAAAACATCTTGTCCCTTTTGTCTCCTTGTTGTCTGTGACGCTGTTAACACAGTTGACCTCTGACCTTTCATTTGAGAGGCAGTCATATGTCAGCGTATGTCACAACCAATCAGATGTGGCTATTGATTTTACAACGCATCACTCAAGGCCTTTTGATCTGGAGGTCAATGGGAGGTGCCATCTCCATCTGAAAAGCTGCCCTCCTCTTAATTAAGCCACGGCCACGAGTTAATTAACCCACGGCCATGAGTCTTAACAGTATTGGTTTCACCTTGAATCAGCTGGAACGGGACAGTAAATTATGCTTTAATGAAATGACGCTGACAGATTTACACTAATTATCTAAACTTGCTGCTGTAACGGATGAATCTGTAACGTTAAGATGTTCCTTGTAAGCCGTACAGACATAATGTCCAAGGATATGTTTAGTCCATCTTGAAAGAAAGACTGGAAGCAGGTGGAAACTGCTAGCCTTGCTCAGCCAAAGGTGAAAAAAGGACTTAAGTGTCCCGTGTGTTCATGCCCACACCATAGGCGTTTTCATCAGGAAGGAGGACAATTATTTCACCGCTTAGCACACCTAAGGAGTGCACCTTTCAACACCACGGACGCCATGTATGCAGCATTTGGATTGCAGGTCAGCCCCCAGGAGCTCTTGAGAAAAGGCCGACGTCATGAACTGTTACGCTTTCACAGAGATGAATTAGTGTTGAATTTAGCTGTGTGGTTGTTAGTGTCGTTCTATTGGGTTAGCAGTGGGACAGAACATGATACATGTCTATGTAAGCTCTGTAAACAAGTATAATATTATAATTAGTTAATGTTGAAAACCAGCAGATTTTAGTGTTTTATTTTGTCATGTCTTGAAAGCGCAGAACCTGAGCTAAATGCAATCACAATAACAATGCATTGTTTCTATGTTCACCATCTTATTATTGAACATTTGCCAACTAGCACTAAACAAAAGCGCAGCTGAGGCTGATGGGAATCTCATTGGTTGTATTTGGTCATAAACCAAAGTATGTCGACTGAAGTTGAGGCTGAGCTGAGGACGTCAGAGGGGAAACCAGACAAATAAAAAAACAAAGAAATTCAGTTTTTGTAATTCACATTGATAAACAGGGGAACAATATAACTGCAGATGCAATCTTAAAGGGTTTAAAACTCATTTTTAATTTCACCTGGACTTACTAATGTTTGAGGAAAACAGATTTCCACAGTTCAAAGCTCTCAAAAATCTACCAGTTAGCGCCTTCATACATCTTCAGGTACAGCGAGTTCTTGTCCAAAGGTGAGCTGATGATGTATACAGTATTTATACAAGCGGCTGTAAAACACAGCACGCTCTCAGTCTCACCTGTCTGCTGGAAACAGGTAGATTGCATCATATTTCCTGGTGTCGTACCCTCATGGAGCCGTTTGCATTTCCTGGAATCAAGAACAGAACCCCTTTTGCCGATAAAGTACACAGACGTTTTTTAGATAAAGCTTGATGGCGAGCATTTTCTCGACATAACAGCAGGGAAAAAAACCCACCAGGTGAAAGATGAGAGTGAACTTTCATAAACTCTAGCAGGGGAATATTGCACTGGAGGTCGATTTGTCAGATGCAGTGAACGCAGTCCTCGATCGACATCGTTTTTTCTAATGTACTCCGAGTTTCTGAAAGGTTCAATTAGACCAAAGTCTTCCATGAATAAATTCAAGACGGCACTCAGAGGGAAAAGGGCAGCTGCCACCTAGTCTTGTGCTCAGTTGGTGGTGCCCTGTGTGAGGCATGAGAGAGAGGACGCTGTAGCTCTTGGCTCACAAAATTTAAATCAGAGGGTAAATCTTGCAGCGCTCCCAGGGGGGAGGGATGCGGTGAGCAGCTGCCTTCCCCCTCTATTCATTTTAAGATCTTAATCTGCACAAGTTGGAAGACGCAAACCGTCCCACAATCTCTGCACGCTGACTTAAAGTGACGTCACTGCTCTAACAAATGCACAATAAACAGGAGAAGTGATGTTAACAAATGAGCCTCTCTGATGCTGCTATTATCTGAATTCTACTCATACATTCAGAAAAAAGGTACTGAACTGAAAATCTACAAACAACAGTTCTAGCTTATATATGACATGAAAAATACATTCACTACCACTAGATGTCGCACAAGAGCACGAGCATCTTAGACCAAAACAATGGCCGTAGACCAGACTCCATTCACAAAACCAGTAATTTTACCTAGAAGATAATTAGACTTAAAACTGAACAGAAAAAAAATCAACCTCATCAAACCAACTTTGTCTGTTAGTCTGTTAATCAACTCTGGTTTGGTCAAATAAAAACCCTTTATTTACAGAGTTAGATGAGAAAACAGCCACAAAACAAGTTCTTATATCCTTGGGGATAAATGCACACATCAGTCCCTCCACTAACAGTAGTTGTTGTTTGTTCCACTTACAGTGGAAAACTAAAACTAAACTAGTAATTTTACCTTGCAGCTAATAACATGCAGAACAATCTAAAGCTTACCTCATTTCCATCCTCCAATTTTCTTGTTGTTTTGGTGGATTCTTTGCTTCAGATTTTTATTTCTTTACTTCAAGGTTTTGTTGTTTTACTAATTAGCTTTTGTTACTTTTACTATTATCGGCATTTTTTTGAAAACGTCCTCGTCTGAGCTTCGAGTCCAGGCTGTCCGGGGCAGAACGGCTAAGCTAACTA